CTTTCCAACGTTTGTGGTCCATATTTCAGAACTAGTATGCTATTCTTTGCGCAGGCTGCAGGGCACTTGTGCCCCGCCCACTTCGTTCTGATACCAGGACACCTGGGCTACGCCCATTTTAAACCTTTAAAAACAGCGTTGCCTTTAGTGGTTTCCCCCTCTTTTTCCCACCTGATGACGATCGCTTGTGTTGCGATCGAAACGTCAGTTTTTTTTTAAATAAATTTTTTGAACCAAAAGCTTTAAGTCAACTAGTATGCTATTTATATGAATATATTTATAGCATATCTAAATATTTATTTAATAATTTTTGAATTAATATATATTAATAATGACAACACCCTCCAAATACTGTTGTTGGAAAATACAATCAAGTGGTAGTATTTTATAGTCTACTTGTACCTAAAGGCAGCTTTGAGTAGACAAAAGAAAAAATAGAAAAGCACGTAAAATAAAATAACCCTAACCTTTCAAAAGGCTGTTAGAAAATAGCCCTTAAGAGGGATTGTTGAAATAGCCTTTAAAAAGGCTGCTGTTTTAGAAAAGATGAAAAAAGTCTCTGAATATATTTACTGTGGCGTACCAAGCAAGAAAACAGGCATCCGTCTGTGGCTTTTCCTGCCTGGCACAGATAGAATTGTGTTGCTTGAAACAAAGGTTCCTGATAAATCAGTGAAATGACTTGGAGACTATGCACATAGGCCACACCCCATCAATGGGGAGGGGAAAAATACCTTGTAAGAGCTGTCGACAATTTGCATGTCTACGTTAGGATTATCTACTTGCGTGGATCTAAAAACAGATGCTCTCTGGAAAAAATGAATGGAGTTTTCCTTAATCTATAAGTATGGATTGGGTCTCATATATGTGTAGTGAGTTCAACTGAGTCGCAGACGCACTTCTTGGAAGCAACACATTTATTAAACCAACATATTAACTTATGGTGGTGGACCACCAGGCTAACTACGCTACACGGGAATTAGCTACGACGGACCGGACTCTGGCCTAGGTCCAGGTCCAAGTGTTGGTGACTCTTGTAGGACGTAGAATGTAGATTCTTCAGGATGAACAACAACAGCCAGTCCCTCTCGGGGACCCGGCTTATATCCTCGGTGGCGTGGCTGGCTCCACCCTGAGCCACGACCACCCTCTAGAATCCTCTAGCAGGTTCTCCACCCTGACACGTGACCACCCCTAGCCCCCACCTGGGGGCCCTGTGTAGACTTTACCGGTCACGTGTCCTTCGGGGTCAACCAGAGTGCCATGGCCCTTAGTAACCCCGTTTCCATGGCTGGCACTCTCACACCCTATCCTGTAGGGGTCGGCCCTGCACGCAGTGTGGTGCCATCCAGCACTGCCAGTCAGCACTCACCGAGCCCCTCTAGGGCCGGCATTACACAGTGACATCCGCGATGTCACTACATATGCGTTAGTGTATGAAAAAATATTTTTAATGTTTCACAAACCCACGGTGTATTTTTAATAATTGATTTGTCAACGGCTAAGCTCTCAACGTCGGGCCCTCGTTCTGGCTTTTTAGTGCAGCGTATTTGGTTGCAAGGGCAGCTAGCTGGCAAAAATGGCAGCTAGCCAACTAATTTCTGTTAACAAGCTGAATCATGTGGGCAGCTAGCTAGAATAAAGGATAGCTAGTTACTGCGAGTCAAATAACGAACGGCTTGCCATAATGATGACCTTCAAACTGTCCTGTTATGCAGAATGAACTGACTTGTTGGTGAATATTGCATCACGTAACAGCATATTGTAGCGTGCCAACAGTGGCTCAGTTGTACAGAAGCACTGTACTCTCCGAGAGGCTCTCGTTGTAAGCATGCACTGTATGTACCAAGGGGCCCCCAGGTGTTACGCTCGATGTATGCACCAAGGGGCCTGGGGGCCCTAGTGGTCAACTCACGCTTTAAGCACCGAGGGGTCTCGTGGTCAGCTTGCACTGAGGGCCCTGGCATTCAACTTCCTTTGTAAGTCTTGGGCCACGCACCGCACGCGGCCTGAGGCGGTCCACAATCCAGCCTTGGGTACCTCAAACCTGAGACACCTATGGCTCTCTGCCACGCAGCTTGGGCCGGTGGCCCTGGCTCCCCCAGAGCTTCTTCTGTAGTGGTTGCCCAGCACACAGGCCCCCGGCCACTCATTTGGAGCGGCCACAACATCAGGAGCCCCTTGCAGCGCTTCTACGCAACCCGGGTCATGGTGTATGAATGTACTGTATGTTGAACTTCTTTTGCACCGTATGTTGCCAACTGTGCTAATCGGCGGTGCCGCGGGGAGGGAAGAACAAACTAAATACAAAGCAGTTCTAAAAGAAATGAGTTTTCAATCTAGCCCAGAAAATTACAACACAGTTGCGATGGTGGATGGGTTTTGTGGTGTGGACCACCGGGGCTTCTCCCCGCCTCCCTCTTTCCCACAGCGAGGGGGGAGTTAAAAGCCTCACCCAGCTGCAAATATCAAACATTAATTCGATGCAGCAGCAGTTTTCTGGGTGCCCGGCACAGGATGGTGTTTGTAGGTGATGAGGTCGGAGCGTGTCGGCGAGGGCGGAACGAACAACCTGTGGTAGGTGTGAGATTGCTCCAGGCCGACCCACGGTTTCTGAACCCAACCACTTTTCATTAATTCCGCTTATAACAGCCCCCCTCCCCCTATTGCTCATAGCACAGACGGCAAAATCCTCGCGCTGCGAATTTACCACCAACACAAATGTCGCAGCAGAAAACTTGGAACGAAAGCATGGGGCAGTGTAAACAACGGTTTCATCAGTCTAACACGTAGTAGGCCTCCGCAACCAATATCATCCACGAGAGGTTTTTAGATTAGATCGCGTAAATATTTAAATGTCATAAAAACCCACCACCCGACATAGCCAATTAGTAAGGTTTGTCACGTAAACAGAACATGCCAATTCGTTACTAGTACAGAACACCGGTGTGATTGTAGATGTTGTGGATTAGCTCTTCAACAGACCGGTGTGCTGCTGAACTCGTCAGGTTCGGTACGTGACAAGCCTTTCTAGTTGGCTATGTCGGGTGGTGGCAGGTTTAACGACACATTTATATTTAAGCGAGCTAACCCAAAAAAACCTCTTATAAACGTTTCATCCCGTGACTGAAATGAAAAGCGGAATCTGTGTGTACAAAAAAGCACTCAAATTTATTACTGTTGATTTTTTTTTACACAAAAAAAAACTGAAGACAATTTGCAGACAGCAGATATGAAACTGTACCAAAACAGTTCGTCACATTTAAATAGAATACAGTAAATCACCTCTGGAAACAGCAAAAGGCTGCTTTGAAAGTTTTTTTCTGAGCTGTTTAAACAAAAGTTGCAGCTGACTTTGGAACAATTTTAAACATTGATTAAAAATAAGGGCCATACAAATACAAACGTGACAAACAAAGAGACTTTTTACATGGGAGACTTTTTTTTTTACAATTTGTTAGTAATTTTTTTGTAAGTTTTTTTATATTTTTCTTATTAATAAATGAATTTAACTTACATAAAAGGTTTTACATTGGGTAAACTGGGAAACAACTTTATTACAAGAAGGAATACATTTAATTCATAACTCATAAGTTGTAAGCAAGAGACTACAAAAGAGTGAAAAGACCTCTGGGGAGAATTTGTTGTTGTTATCAAAGTCGAAAGCCGGCCAAGTTGTCTCAATGATGAAAAATTTCCAAAGCTTCTTTCGACTGAACAAAGGTCACCAGAGTCGTCACTAACGCCTTAAATAGAAGTCCACCCCACCCCAACTTAAAAATACACGCGCGTACAAAACCCTCCCACCAAATAGACGGCCGCGTTTGGAGGAAAGAAATGCATAACGCTGCGTGCGTGCGCGCGGTGAAACCAAACGAACGCTTGCATCTCAACTGATTGGCGGAGCCAATTGTGCCACGGCATACGAAGGAAATAAAAAAAATTAACGTGAAATTTTGGCCACCGATTGCTAAAACAAAGTGTGCATGTTTTGTTTCCAATGCAAAAAAAGTATGTCTAGAGCAGACTTTCTTTTTGAAAATATATAAATTCTATTTCAAGAAATCTCTGAGTAGTGTTGGTATTACTCTTCCTGTGGATTTATCTTCAAGCATTTACAATATTTCTAATATTGCATATTCACCTGCTCATTCGATGTCCTAATATGCATCAAAACTCTGCGGCTCAGCTCCCGTTCCCTGGGTGAGAGGAAGCCTGCCCAGCCTTCGCAGGCCGCTCCACGTTTGTTTCCAGCGCAACACTCGCACGAGCGTCGCCCCCACGAGCTGCCGTGCACCGACTCCATTTATCCGTAACCTGCAGCGTTTGCCGGTGAGCCGCAAAACCAGAAATGGGTGCGCCTTCCCAACAGAATGGAGCTATGCTCGCAGGTGTGAAATGTTCCTCAAAGTCTCTCGACATTCAAGTAAAAATGTGTTCACATACATCGACCTTGAATCAATTAAAGAAAATTAAAGACTGAGCAAACTTGCACCAGAGGAAACAAAAAAAATAGCCAAACCATACAAGATACAGGGCAGTCTTTACCATAATCCAAAAGTTTGTGAAAAAAGTGATGACCGTAATTCACGAGTATAAAGCTCTAAAGTACACACTGTACAGCACTGCAAACCTATTTTACATGCAGTGAAATTTATTCCAGCCAAGGGAAGCCACCTCCGAGCGGGAGAGATCACCAGTCGTGCTGCGGCGCCGCACGAAGGACACCCGCGGGCAAACGCGACCCTCGCCGACTCCGTCAGCGAGCCGGCCGAGGCACGAGAGAGGCTCGTGCCCCTCGACGTCCTCACTCGGCAGAGAGCACCCAAACGGAGCCGCCGCCCGTCACACAAACGGTACAGTGGCAAAACACAAATCACAACCTCAACAGATTTGTTTTGTCTTTACACAATTAAAAAAACCTATCCACACCTGTCACCTGCACCCCCCACACGAAGCCCACCCCCACCCCTCCCCACAAACCCCACCACCCCCCACCCCACCCACCGCCCATCACCACCACTCGATAACAAAACACACGCGCGTCGGTACGTTATTGAAGGCTGCCTATGATTCGTTATTGTGACAGCCGCAGCGCAGGGACGGGCGAGCGGGCGGCCCAACACGCTCACCTCGGCCTCGTCGCCCACGTCCGCTCTCATGCGATAGCGTGGCGCCACGGCCCAGCGGGGGGACCGAGCGGCCCTCCGTCATGCGCAGGCCGCAGAATCCCAAATTTGCCGAACGAGACATCGATAACGACTGCGACCCGTGCAGCAATCGTTCAGAATCGTGATACTGATCGGTTAGTGTTATGGCGATGGCAGCAAATCTCAATTTGGCTTCTGGGCAAGAGGGCATTATCGACGGTCCCGGTTCAATGGACGACTTGGGCGGGCACACGCACGCCGGCGGAGGCGGGCGAGAGAAGGCGCCACACGGCGGAGCGGCCGAGGTGACGCACGGGGGCGCGCGCACGCACATGCAACCGCGCACACGACGACGACGACTAACACGGAACGTACTGTAGATCACGAATAGCACCACAGTGAAATCATCCCACCGCAAGTACATTACGAAATGTGCTGCCAACACTCCTCCACAGTGTGGTCCACTTGCATCATCAATTTATACTTTAGTTTTTTTTTTAAGTCCCAGAAACAACCACACCTAAATGTAAAAGAGTTTTGCTCGCATCCCGGAGCTCAACGCCACACCAGATCCTCCACGCGGGGTGTCGGAGCCCCCCGTACGTCATCCAACGTTTTGTAGCACAGTTCAAGTTGGCATGGACAAAGCTCCCACCGTAAAGACCCCGCGGGGTGATGTTCTCGCGTGGGCATCGTTGACGAGCTGCTTCTTAAAATGCTGCTAAAATGCATTCCCCCCCCCCCCCCCCCCATCTGCCCTACCCTCCCAGAGTGTGCACTTGTCCGAGGATTATCTTGCACCCACGCACACCTATCTTAAGAGTACTTTGGTACCGATCGATTCATAAACCGGTGCTTCAGTTCACTCACCACTTTTGACTATGGCTATCTAGATCGAGGTGGTGGTTTTACACACTGCAAATAAAATTACGCCGGCAGTTCCACGGCGAAGCAAAAAAAAAAAATTGTTAAACCAAAAGCAATACGTGTTTTATAAAGTACTTTTATCTCCTGCTAAGGTACTTTATATAGGCAATCCGCTGCAAAGGAATGGAGCTGCAGGCCCGAGCGTGCTGTCGTGCGGGAAGAACGCTCGATCCGTTGACTCGCAACCCCCGACAGTGCCCGCGTCTCCACGCGCAGATTTCAACATCAGCCGATTTCCACCGAAAGCCCGGAGACGGAAAATGCCGTCTCCAGGCTCGCGGATACTACGTGCGGAAATGCGCACAACGCAGGCAAATAACGATGCAGCACCGATCGGTTATCTGTTTTTTACACTTCTTCAAAAGCAGCCGTGGAGGGACACCGAACAACACATCGGGCCTTCATACGTCCGCTCAGCCGAAGGCGAGCAGCTTCAGTGGAGCGGTTTTGCCGGGACACACAGCACCAATCGTCGGCTATGGCGAACGCACGGCCGGTGGGAGCTGCGCCCAAGAGTTGGGGCGACGAGCGCGCAGCCTCCCAACCCCACCATGACGCGCGGGAATTTCAGGTTTTCAAGTAACAAGCCAGTGTGGAGCACACGTGAGCGTGAATAAATTATTGGGAAAGGCTTTGTTTTTGTTTTTCAACAGCAGCATGTGACTCGCACTTTAAAAAAAACTGATTTCATTGAAGTCGAGGGCGCCCCCCCCGCCTCTTAAGCGTCCGACAGGCAGACGAGGCGCTGTAACGGTCATCGACACGGAGCGACCCCCCCCAGGGCTAAATCGATGTGGCCACGTAGGAGAATTAAGATGCAATACCCCACACAACTTCACCACCCTACCTTTGAATTTGTGTTTAAGCAGTGCGACATGACCAAGGCACTTCCACTTGGGAATGCCACACAGCGTTGGTCTCCAGGTACAACGGCATCGGGCGGTGCGAGCCTCAGACCCCCCCCCCCCCCCCCGGGACACGTTGCCGCGGCGACAAAGGTGCAGCACGGAATTCGAAGGCTGCAGCACGGGAATTCGAAGGCTGCAGCACGGAATTCGAAGTCTGCGCTCACGGTAGCCTTAGCCAATTCATTTCACCGTGACACAATTTTGAAAGGATGTAAAACGTCCCTTGATTGGCAAAAACAAAGTTAGGGTGGAGCGGTGAGGCATTACGGAGGGCGACCCCCTCCCAGTTGTCACGCTCGTGGACCTCTTGGGAGCACGACGTCTCAATGTGGCCAATCAGGGAGATCACACCGTGTCATCGGACGAGAAGCGACGCCGATTAGCATCGCTCATTCTGCACTCGCCATTTAATTTCCTCCGAGAACACAGCACTGAGAGAGATAAAGAGAGCACCATCGCAAACCCGCCCGTGTCATCGTGACCACCCCCCCCCTCCCACCTTCAACTCATAAACATTAAGGCCATGACACACTAGGACAGCTTTAGGGCAACTGTTGCCAAGAGTTATCACGAGCAACATATTTACTTTGCGCAACTGCCTTAAAATTATATAGTCAATGAACAGTCAATGAAAACAAGAGTTTGTTTAATAGCACGTTCAATGAAAAATTGTTGGTCTACAGAGCACACAACCTTGGGTAGTAATGTGAACTCCACCTGCCATCCCGGTCTCACCCACAGGCGGAAACACTGATCCGATTTGTCCAGATCTGGGCCACTGAATTGTTTGGAACATAAAATTACGCGTCAACTATTGTGGGCCACAGTTGCCCTGAATTTGCCTTAGCCCGCCACCTCCTTGAGTGAACAACGCTCGTCTCAAGCAGACCCAAGGGAAAACGTGGGGCAGTTTTACACCTCTCCTGTTTTCCTCCTATATTTTACTCTCTGTTGAAAGGTGACAACAAAAACAATAACTCGCATTAAAACACAACGATAAAAAAGGAACATCCGTCCCCCATCTCCCCCCCACCACATCCCAGAAATCCACGAGGACCGATACAATCCGGTTTTGACCACTCTCCTCTCAGGGGTCACGGCCGGGGTGTCGGCTCCGCGTCCGTCGTCGCACACCCCCTCCCCCGTGTCTCGGTGGTCCAGTGCCTGCGGTTGCCGCCCCCCCCCCCAGCCCCCACCCTCAACACGGCCCCGTCACCGGCGACATCGTCGTTGCCGTGTGCCTCGGCGGCACTAGCTGCGTTCCGGCCCCACCGAGTCTCCGCTGCCTTCGGGCGACGCAGCGGTGCAGGGGTCGGCGTCGGGCGAGGGGCAGCCGCTGCCCTCCGACGGCGACGGAGGCGGCGGCGCCGGAGAGGGGCTGCTCTTCTCCGTTTCCGTGGATACCGTCTCCCCGGCAACCGACGAGCCCTTGGTGGCAGGGGGAAGAGTGGTTCATTGTCGGGAGGTGGTGGGGTGGAGGTGGGGGTAGGGAAGGAGGGGGGAAAAGCCCTTTGTGAATTTCGGAACCCGAGCGATTATGTTTAAAGCATCGTCAAGCAGCAGTGAAGACTGGGACCCGAGCAGCAGCGATAGGGCCCCTGGGACCGTCGCCCAGTTAAGCGCTCGCAACAGGCCGGCGCTGCCCTGCACCGGCGCTTCCAGCTTCAGATGAACGTTTGTGTGCGCGGACACGATCGACAAAATCTTTCAGAAATTCACCACACATCTCCCCGAAGCGTGTGACTGGATATCGATGGCCTCGCTTAATGTGCAATGTAGAACGGCCGTCGCCAGAAACATCACCGATTATATACTTTTCCTTTTGAAGGCCACACAGTGCTATTGACAAATGTATTGATATATTTTTTTGGCTTATTTGTGCTTGTGCACCACTGCCAATGCAGGTAGCAGCAGCATGATTGACGAGAGATGCACGAAACCCAGCTGATACGCGTCCGAACTTGACGCTTTAAAATGGATACACGCGTCGTGTGGCAGTGGTGGCAGCCTCTGCCAGGGCCCTCTTGGTGAGAATATCAACAGGTGCAGCACCTCTGATTAGCACGGTTTGCTACATATGGTGCGAAAGAAAACGTACATACAAAAGTCTACAAACACGTCAACAGGGCAACGTTAGCGCCAAACCGGTTCCTCATCGCGGATCCCACAGTCCACCCACCTAGCTTCAACCTGCCACGCCATCAGTGGGCCCTGCTGAACAAGCTTCCGGACACAGGGCAAGGTCTCTGTGCAGACCAACCTGCCCTGTTGGGGTCTTCGTGACAACCCACAACACAGCAGCCATGGCACCGTACAAGCAAGGTCACGCGCATTGTCGACGACTGTCCACTACGTTCAGCGGAGGTCTACGGGAACCACACAAGGCCAGCGAGGGCGCTGCCGCATGACTCGCCGATTACTCTCTCTCTCGCCAAACGAATGTTAGCCGTGAATGCTACGGTTGTCCACTCGGCAGTGGACGTTAACAACCCCGTGATGTCATTAGATAAACAGTAGGGCACGTGTGCCAGCGTCGCGATCTAAATTCGTCAAATGTGAAAAATTACTCGACTCGATAAAAATCACGCACAGCAGCATCATCATCCCCTCCCAGGCAGACTATACTCACGTGTGAAACACAGCACCTTCGTGATAGCCTTCTGTTGTACGAAAGGCACCAATACCAAATGCACTCAATTATTAACTTTATCTTCAAGAGCAGAGTCCTGAGGGCAGAGAACGACCGCTGGCGTTTGTCTTACGGCCGCCCCTTTACCCAGTGCTGTTTAATTCTCATATCAGGTGCAATTTGAAACCCCAAGCCGCAATGCACTAATGAGGTAAGACAAGCTGCACCAGAGGCAACTAGAGAAGGCTCACCAGCTGGCAGGCCAGGTCACTAACGGAGCCTCACATTTAGCTGCAGGATTCGACTGCGGAGAAGAAAAAACGTTTGCGAGTTTTATAGCTGGCTCGCGCGCGCCAACCAATCTGTGACACAGCAAACCGTTATTATATTTAATCGAATTAATGTTTTCAGTGTTACTCTAGCGCAAAACATTGTCCCTCTACTAGCCCAGAACATAACAGGCGGGGGTGTGGTAAGTTTCGTGGCAACTTTTTATGCATTTTGAAATGTTTGTAAATGCGTGTAAAGTGTCCTTGGGACAGACGAACAACATTTCCCTGATGTAGCAATAAGCGGCTCCTTAACGAAGCAATGAGTGCAAGATTTGGCACCCAGATTACCCAGTTACCAATTCATTTTCCCTGCTTCTCGTGTAACTATGGGGGAGGTGATTTGGTGCCGAGTGCACCAATCCGAGGTTAACTCGGCCTGACGGAAGCAGCTGTTGCAGTGGTTGCGATAAATAAAAGGGTGGCCTGGTGAGAGCAGGAGCCGGCCACACCTTCCCTCGTGTGGCTGCTGTGCACATCAGGGCCTCAGGCCTTGAGCGCGTCTCCGCATTCACCCGGGGCACAAAAGGAAGACCGACCCCCCCCCCATCGTGTTTGTAAACGCAATTCGGAGCAAGCCCCGGCTGCGACCGCACGGGGCGAACCGCACCATCCCGAGCGCCCTCGATCCCTGCCTGGGAAGCACTCGGGGACATTTCTTCCTGCAGACCTCTCTCCCTATACCGCCGCTTTGTGGCTATGTACGCACAGCACCGGTGGGCCCCACGGTGCGTCGGCGAAGGCTTGGCGAGCCCTCGCTGCGCCGCAAACTCCTGGTTGTCGTCAAGTGATGTACCTCACCTGGAGATCCCTTGAGATGGAAACATCTCGTTTGCAAGGGTGGTTTCCATGGTGTCAAGTTACTAGTGCATAGCAAACGCAGACTGATACGATGTATACAAACATGTTCAATGTATAACCTTTACAGTATCTGTTTATGCGTTGAACATCGCACCCAGTCAAACACATCATACTATATTAGAAAAATAAAATTGTTGGCTAGCTGGCTCCTGCCTACATTCCTGACTGGCTGTAACATAACCGCATGCGTGCGGGTGATGTCACCAACCCACCCCCACCCCACCCCAGCCGTGGATCCCACGCATTTGCGCGGGATTCATACGATCATATCATACACAGGCATCCCTCACATATTGTGCGACATGTGTTCCTCAAAAACAGCGCATAAGTTGAATCGCACTTATGAAGCCTATTTTTCCATAGACATACATGTTACAAGGGGGGGGGTTGCGTTACCGAAGAAAAATTAAGTATAATTTTGGGGTGCCATGGTGGCGAGATGTGAACGACCTCGCCTGGGATACAGGAGTTCCTGGGTTCAATCCCGACCCTGACGATGCCTGTTGTATATTTGGAGTTTGCATGTCTCTCTCCCCGTAGTCGCGTGGATTTTTCTCCGGGTCCTCTGGTTTTTCCCTCCCCATTTAGAATCAACATCACCACGCGTTTTGAGTATTTGGCTGCTGCTTTTAATGTCCACACGATAAGCCACTTCATTGAGCTATCATTTGTGGCCAGGTCGCTTCTGAAAACGAGCTATATAGCTCAGTGGGGGCCTTACCTGGTAAAATCAAAATAGTTTATAGTTTTATTTCATTTCTTTATTTTTGCCCTGGATTTACAAAATAAGCATAAAACATTTTTCACCTGAAGATGATTGCTTGTGTTGCGATCGAAACGTCCTGATATTCTATCTAGGTGGCTTTACCGAAAGACCCATAAAATATAAATGTAATACTTATATTACAAAAAAATACTTAATAAGGAGTTTAATAACAAATAATAATCACTAAAGATGTATAACACTACTTACAAAGATTACTAAATAACGAGTAACATCAGGGCTTCTTGAACGCTTTCCGTGGGCTGCTTCTACACGTGAAGGGTGGTGGGCCGATCGGTTAACCAGCTAAATAGTTTTTCGTTTTTACTTTGAACATTTATCATTGACAATTATTTTGTTATTGAGAAGCATTTTAATTTAGGCATTTTGTGTTGTTGTTTTTCTTGCGCGTGTATCTTCGAAACGCAAAGCGCAAGTGTGAATAATGTCCCCAGAAGATGAATCGCGTAACCGCGAATTCGCACGGTGGCGAGCTGCGTGACGCAAGGGACGCCTGTACTTTTTTAGAAAAATTGTTGTTGGCTGGCTGGCAGGGAGGAAGGGACGGAGGGCGGAACGGACGGACAGATGGCCGCATCCAAAGGACGTGTGGGGCCCATTGGTAATGGTAATAATAATTGAATGGTGCACACAGCGGGTCATTTAGAATGTGCTCCAGCTGTAGCGGATACATCTGTCATGTGCGGTCAGCTCTTTACTTTGAAATTATTTCTATTGAGGAGCTAAAAGATGTCACCAGAAAGTCGACATGCCTTGCGCACTGCCCGTACATTGAGTGGCAGGTCGAGCGTTGGCAGGTCGAGCGTTGTCACATCGCGGCTCAGTCAATGTGACACGTCGATAAATAGTGAATTGTTTTTTTGGGATTATATCCCAAAGTAAACAAGTTGACATGCACACCAACTACTGTATTGTACACACACAAAAGGAAGTGGCGGCAAGCAGACAGCCCGATGAACGAACCGTGAGGATTCATAAAAGATCTACGCGGCTGCCTGAGGCCACAGAGCCGAACTAAGGTGCCTTCATGATTCTCTGAGTTGAATGTTAATTTCTGAGGCTCCCCGAGCAGGACTAAATTATCCCCAGGATTCTTAAAATTCGCCGATAATGCCCGAAGCTCAGGAGCCAGTGTCAACAGTGGTGTAGCCACGGAAAAAATAGTCTCGTTAACCTATAAATATTTAATATCATACGCAATCGTCTGTTATGTAAAAAAAATCTTCAACAATGCTCTCCACAACCAGAAGGGTTTTTAATTATGGAACACAGACTACAGGAAACTCGTAGTCACATGTTTGCGAGTTGAAATTCTGGCTAGGCAGTTCACTCAACTCATCATCTTTGCAGGGTTGACAAATCGTTCACCACTTTGTAGGAAGCGAAAGCAGCGGTGGGGCCCATGGCGCGATCGCTCCGCACCGAGACGCGCCGAGTTTCCACCGCGGACCCGGCGCCACCGGTGAAGAGGCGCCACCACCCATCACCCCACTCCCAGGTAGACCAACAAAACTTGACCTTTGACACTTTTTGTCTTTGTTCACCTTGCAGTTTCGAACTTGGGAATCTCGCACGATGTGTGCGCGAATTATTTTTATGGGCGATGCCGTTTAAAAAAAAAAATATCCCTATTGCCAATGTTTCTTACCCAGTGGCACCCTCCTTTATGCACACCTGCATTGCCCCCAGGTCCACCTTGAATGTTACTCTGCAACGCGCCAAATGGGCTCTCACCAGATCCAACTAAAAGACAAAGGTGACTGGAACAGTGTGTGCCACGATGAACGCTGCAATGGGGCACGATTACATTCCCAAGTGACCTGCAGTAAACTCCGTGGTACGTTTCAGGAATAACATTAAACAATAAAGGATCACGCAATGTAGAAACCACAAATGCATAGCCGGCAGGAATGTCTCCTGACAAAACAGCCATGGGCAAACAGAGCACAGTAATTGGTGCACCGACACAGAATGAATGAACTCGTTGTTTCTTGACACAGCGCATTGTTGGACAACAGCGGAGGACAATCTGTCAAACATTCCGCGTCTACGCATGCAGATTTCTGACAGCCGAGGATGAGGATGAGAACGGATGAGTGAACGTAACGATGACCACACAGCCCCCCCCCCACCCCGCTTGCCACGCTGACCCCAGATGGCTGCTCATTAATAGCACTGCCCCTGAAAATTACCCCTCGACTTAAAGGAGGACCTCCGCGTAATTACATGCACTCGTTACGTCTTCCGTACATTCCAAATATTGATATTTTACACACAATATACAAGCCAGGACTGTGGATGCAGTGCCAGATAAATACACTGATAAAGCGCTGACAGGCTTTAAAAATAAGCGGCTTGTTATTTCCACGACTTAGGTGTGGCATCCGCTCCAAGGGCGGGATAAAGTCTGCAGCAGCAGTAGCAGCAGTAGCGGCAGCAACAGCGGCAACAGCGGCAGCAGCGGCGGATCTTATAACGAATCGAACCGACGTGGCGTTCACGAGCCGGGGGAGAAGGGCCCTGTGGTATGCACTCATCTTGTCACGCGCTCACAAGTGCCTGATAGCCGCTGCACCTCACACAGGGCCGAGCGGCAATGAATAAAGGCCCTCGCATGCCACAGCCCTTTGATTTCCCACCTGAGTACTATTGGATTAAACGAGTGGATCAATTACGTTCGGAAGTGGTGATTACGAAACTCAAGGCTACCCACCCCCCCTGTCTGCCCCATCCCAAGCCTCCCCCCTCACCTCCATTCCTTGCGCTCTCCCCCCCAAAGGACAAATGCCATTCAATGTTAAGTCTAACCACGACTGGGGATGAATCTACGTCTAAAAACTGGTAATTTTCAGGGCAATTTCAAATGTGGCAAGAGGCACCGGGGCACACGGTGGCTCTGATGGCAACAACTCGACATAAACACTGGGCAGCAATGGGGGGGGGGGAATGCAGCAAGCCCCTTGCCGCCTTCCCCACTGGCAAGCGGCACTAACCACTCGTCGATCTCACTCGGCGCTCCACTGGCTTCATCCGCTAATTTGTCTCGTTTGTTGCAGACGAGTCGCGTCCCCCGTTCGCCTTTCACGTCGCAGAGTCGCATTCACCGATTCGGGGGGGCGGGGGGGGTTCTTAACCAGGGTCCAACAAACCCATAGCGGACCACTATGGGGTCCGAGAAATGCCAAAAGGAGTCTGCCAAGTGCTGGACGCGAGCATTCCCCTCCCCCCTCCCAACTCTGAGCAGCGACACAGCAGCGCTCGCTGTAGATGGGTCTGGGGCTCTATAGAAGCTGCAGAGGTCCTTAGTCCAGCTAAGGTTGAGAACCGCGGTGCAAAGTTTGTTTTGCTCGGCCGGGCACCTGCTCCATCATCTCCTCCTCCTCAGCGAAGGAGCTCTCACCTACTCACATCTCTGCCCGTTGAGAAGACGTAAGCGTTGCCACACCCTGGTCTATCAAGACCCCTGATCCTCTACCCTGTTTGTCAAGGTGTCTCGATCCCTCACATATGTCAATGAGCAAAGTCCGGTGGTGGGGAAGGGCGGGTGGGGGGAGGGGGTCACACCTCCAGGCCACGGGGGGGCGGCCCTCCAGTTCGCTGCTGCTCCAGCGCTGCCAGGTGGCGCTGTCGTAGGCGGCGCAGGCGCAGCATGGCGGCCTGCACGCTCGCCTGCCCGATGAGGTTGAAGTCGTGCAGACTGATGAGGTGCAGCAGCAGGTTTTGGAAGAGGCCCATCTCCAGCAGGCGCGGCCCCCACTGCTCCACAAACAGCAGCACCGCTCCGTGCATCTGGCTGTCCGCGATGAAGCTGCGCAAGAGATGGCAGTCACCACCACCGTGCATCATCATCACCACCACGACCACATCACCACCACCCTGCACATCATCGTCTCAATCTCGTGTCAGCACCATATCAACCAACAAGCACCATCATCCCGATCATAATTACCACCACCATCATCACCATCCCACCATCATCACCACATCAAGCATCATCACCACTACTATGCACCATCACCACCAGCAACCATCACACATCATCACCACCCTCACACATCATCATCATCACCACCATGACCAAGCATCATTATAGCCACCACCACCAAGTATCACGCATCATCACCACCACCAAACATCATACATCATCATCATCACCACCACCATCATTCATGCATCATCGCCACCACCATCGCCACCACCAAGGGGCGGCAGCAGGGTGGCACAGTGGTAACAGTTGTGCCTCACAGCAAGAAGGGCCTGGATTCGTTTCCCGACTCGGGTGCCTTTGTGTGGGGAGTTTGTGTGTTTTCCCCCTGTTCTGCATGGATTTCTTCCGGGTTCTGCAGTTTCCTTCCAAAGCTAAAAAAAAAAACATAAAATGTAACTAGTATCGGCCAAACATCCATCGAAATGCTGACCAATCACCATTCAAATTAAATCAATTTAGATTTACGCACAGCTGCAACATCACCTCCTACTGCCAAAACCTGGCAGGCCGTTTCCGACAAAGAGAGTCTTAAAACTCGGCGAGGCTTTCCCGAGTTAACAAGTGGATTTATAAAATAACAAAAGTGACCTTCTCCCTTGGCCAACATTGTAACTCTGCGCGAAAGCCGAGCATCCGTTTTACGTGACCGCCACTCACCCGTGTTTCATCACGTGCAGGTTCCACATTTTCATCAGCTCCTTCTCCCCCTCGTTCACGTCCATGAACTCGTCAATTTGCTTCGGGAGTTAAGAGCAGAGCCAGGCAAAGAAATAAAACATAATTAAAAATCAGGGGGAAGAACGAATAACCTTTGACACATTCAGGTGAGATATTTGCAGAGTGGTGCTGCAACAGTTTGTTCCAACTCGCAAATAGGTCTGCGAGATAAACTTCTGGTTTAGGGGTCGGTTTACTCTGTGATCTGCCTTGTGCTAAAAGAGTCCTACGAGGCAGTAGTGGCTCTTTTACAGAGGAACTGATCCCTGTAGCAAAATAGGATTTTACATAACTGGTCCGAGACCATGCGGATGATGACGAACATCGTCCCATGCCCATGTGACCCTAACCTAAGCTTAAGGTCGTCGCGTTTCCCTCCGCGAACGATTACGTGCGGCGGTGTGGATCCCTGTCAGCGGGCCTCTAGCCAGTGGCTGATAAGTGACGTTCCCATGGGAGAACGGTGACTCTTTAACCGCTGTCGACTCACCGCAGAATGCTGAATCAGTTGTTCCTTTTCCCCCAGTTAAAATTTATATTGCACGATTTGGCCCCGTGTCACAAGACTAAGAATCCAAATGGACCTCTCGCAGGGAATTGCAACCATCTGTGTTGGAGGCCGGCCCACAGAAGTGGGGATCACAGAGCTACCCGAAAAAACTTCAAGTGACCTCTGCGCTAATTATACCGACGTGGGATAGACGACGCTGGGTTGTGTCACACCCAAACTGGAATTTAAAAAAATCACAACCATCCCCGACTATAAATCATGCACTGCAACCGCAGCTCTGTCCCCACAGCCCCGATCACGAGGAAGACAAAGCTCTTCTCCTAGTGAACCAAGTGAGGCGAGTGTCAGGCGGGCAATGGGTGGGGTAGGGGGAGTGGGCGCCCTCTGACCAGCACGGTTTTCTCGCGGAGCCACTCGGGGTCATTCTCGTCCTCGCTGTCCTCGTCCATCTCTTGCGGCCTCAGCGGGAGGCAGGTGTCGCTGTGGAAGTAGAGACGGTCGTGGCCGCTCACGTAAGGACGCTGCTGCTCCACCTCCAGCTCGTCCGACTCGAGGAACTCTGACAGGCTCGGCTTCGGCCGCTTCGGCCTAGGGGAGGACGGCCGGCCGGGCGGCGCGAGCGCGCGCGGACACACACAGGGCACACGGCAACAGGGTGACGGGGAGGCGTAGCCGGGACCACACGTCCACCCCACCATTGCAATAGTCCGTTGCCTTGCCTCCGCGCTTCTACGCTCGCCTTAGATCACGAGGGCCCTCATTAGTCCCATACAATGATTCCGGTCGCATGGATCCCGTGCATCCTGGTTCTATTCTTTTCAGTTTCCGTTACCATCGCGATACATGCGTTGAATGGCGATTTGTGATAATTGGTTATTTAATGGTTGTGAAAGTTACTCGCAAATCATACGGTCGCCGTTACCTCGAGGCAAATGGACCGGATAAAATCTGAGACTGAAAACAATGACTTCATGAGAGTAGTCCGATGAGTTTCATCGAAGGGAGAGGGGAGCATTGATAACCAGCACGTGTGCAGGTGCTGAGTAGATTGTTGGGGAGGGCCGCATCCGGCAGCGAATTAATCATGGCCGACGAGGTTATCACGCAGTTCAGCGGTGGCGCTCCTCCTCACCGGCACACAAGGATGTAGGTGACGGGCGTTCTCTTGACGGGCCCATTTCTGCTGAAGGCAAACCCCGGCTGGGAGTGGATGTCCTGCGGATTGCCAGCGTACGAGCCGTCATAGCACTCGTTGACGGACACGTCGATGCGAGCACCTTTGGTGAGAGGCTGTGAACGGGAGACGCAAGCCGAGTTAAAACCCTCGAGGGGACAAATAACAACAACGACGACGATGCCAAGGGCGGTCCTCCCGTGGAGCCAAGCGCGAGTGCCAAACCAGCGCCATGTCTGATGCCGACAGCACCGGACCTTTCTGCACCCCCACCGCTCCTTGCTGTGCAATGAACGCTGTGTTATTGCCCCGTGGGTCACGGACCAGAGCAGACATTGGCACCACCTCGGGTTGCAAACCGTTAGCAGCACCAATTTAGTCCTACGACCAATACGATTGAATTACCACCTCGGGTGGTACCGACAAGTGAAATATCTGCTCTGGGCTCACAGACAGCTAAGAGTTTAAAACGCTTTTGCGAACACAATAGGAACTCCTCGTCGGACAGAACAGTGCGTGGGAGGCTGAAGTCAATCGATAAACGAGTGTGATAAAAAGCGCTCGAGAAGTGATTTCCAGAGAGCGCAGAGAACGATTGTGACCACAGGCGTGAAAGGAGGACCGATTCTATGGTCACGAATGCGCCCGTCGCTGCCTCGACGCAGCGCGCTGCGAGCGTCATTACCAAAGCAGCCGTGCGAGCCGACGTGGCCACACGAGCACGCCCCCTCTTTGACCATCCCCCCCCCCCCCCCCCCACGTTGTTTAGCCCTGTTCATCCGGTGTCATTTAAGGGTCCTAAAAGTTACCTGGGCACACAGATTGTAAACGCTCATCTCGATCGATTAGCTGCCTGTCACCGGCCACTTAACGGAATCACTCGCGGGACTAGCTCGCATACGTGGAGCAAAACGGTTTGTAAAATCAGCCGAAATTCTCGTAGCATATCCATATATATATTTATATGCAGTATGTATGTACATAAGTTACGCAGAATGATATACATACATATTACACACAATACATACACATACGATATACTCTACACTACCTTCCAGTGTACCGGAAGAAAGGGGCGGCAAGGTGGTGCCGTAGTAACCCTTGTGCCTCACAGCAAGAAGGACCTGGGTTCGATTTCCAACTCGGGCGCCGCCTTGCTGTGTGGAGTGTGTATGTTCTCTCCCTGTTCTGCATGGGTTTCCTCCCAGTTCTCCGGCTTCCTCCCATAGCTAAAAAAAACATACAATATAACTGGTAATGATTGGCCAAGCATACCAATGCCGAACACTGTAAATGAATCGATTGGGGGGGATTACCCACGACTTGGCAGGACGACCCTCATGAACAAGAGCTTCGAGGACTCGCTGGGTGGACGAGCGTAAATAATGAAAAGCAAAACATTAAGAGAGGAACCATGAAGTCCTTCCAATGTCCTGGTGCCCAACTGTGCCCGCCCAGCGCCGAGCGTGCTCATGGTCTAGTGGCGTGGGCAACACCGAATACACACATTTCCATAACAACAACCAGCAGTGCCATCCAACCACGCTCAGAAAATAAGCTCCTGGGGGAGGGGGACGGGAGAGAGATGGGGGAGAAGTGAAAAGAGGACAGAGTAAGCGCACGCGCACACACATTCAGCTACGCGCACGGACACGCGCCCACTCGCATGCTCCTCAATTACAGTAGAACCTCTCCTAGTGACCACCACTGTTAACGACTAATCGCTTAACGACAGGCCTCCATAGAGCCCAATGTGTAGTATATTGTGTAGTGTATAGTAGTGTAGTGTACTGCCTCCATAGAGCCCAATGGGTTCACTTACCGACCATTCCCCTGTTAACAACAGGCTTTTGGAGGTAAAGTAAATATGAATTAATGAATTGATTAACCGTGTTTCTTTAAATATTATGCGTCTATAATGTTGTTATTATCTTTATTATTAATATCCATTGCTTAAACATTACAAAGTGCGTTTTTGGATGAAAAAGTGAAACTTTCGATGCTATCGAAACTAATTAAGCCTTTAACGTGTATTTCCTATACTCGCTTAACGACCAAATCTCGTAACGTCCGATTTCGTGGAACCAATTACCGTCATTAAGTGGGGTTCCACTGTACACGTTTAAAATACTGCAGTTGCCCGCTTGTTTAAACGAGGATTGATAATCACCCATCTCCACTAGCAGCCCTGGTGCAGTGGTGGAAATTCCATATTCCTATGCCAGACGGTTGCGACTGCTCTACATTGTGAGGGTAAGGCTCAGGAGGAAGGGTGACTCTGTGTTCAGGCTCCACGACTGTGGAACTCTCTGCCCGATGGCGTCACAGGTAACTTTTATATTAAGGCTTAAGGTAAATTTCCATGAGTGGAAATTGTTAAATTGTGAGTATTTACTGTTTTATTAATATTTTTTCATGCGCGTTTACGAAGTTTGTCTTTCTAAATATTTGTTTCATCTTAACTTGTGCATAGTGGCCTCGTAACCTGATGGCAAGAAAAGGTGCTCTATAAATACAAATTATTATGCCTGGTGATGTTCTTCAAAGTGGTACCAATTGTATTGAGAATTTTACTTGTAACCTTTCAACTGCAATCCGATAGCCCTGAGCACATCACTTCATGCCCATGTTCCTAGCAACAATTCTCATCTTAGGCACGAGTTATTCATATACCCAGAAAATCATTGCTGGTCTTACAATCAAATTGCCAACTCATAAAATGAAAATAAACCCAGTAGAATTCATCCATGATGCATCCAACATCGTCAAATCCCAAAACTAAGCAAGTGTTAAGCCTGGATAGGGCTTGGATGGGCAACCACCACGCATAAACAAGTTGTTATAGGCCGCAGGGCTAAGTGTTGCATAGCAGTGGGCACAGTACAGCAAAACCCATTGTCATATCATACATCTATGATCACAAATCCATTCTAAGAAATAAACATACGCTTATACATGCACAGGTATATTTATAAAACAGCAGAGTCTCAATAAACAACACGAACTGGACGAGCTGCTCGAAATTAATTACTTAATTACGGATCTTTACAAACAGGTCAGACAGGCTGCAGAGGGCAGGGGAGGAGAATGTGGAGTGGTTTGGGGATAAGGGAGATGTAGGTGGGGGGGGCTGTAACGCCTTCACGCTGCACCAAAACTAAACTATGTTTCATTTTACCAGGCAAGGCCCACTGAGCTATAGAGCTCGTTCTTAGAAGCGACAAGGCCAGCAATGATAGCTCAACGAAGTGCCTTATGTGGATATTTCTAAAAAACAAATACTCTTATTAAACGCACCTTGATTCTAAAGATAACGACGACACGCGCATACGTGCGTCTGATCGAGCGCGGTTAATGGAAGTGCGGTCAAGTGAGAGTCCGTTCAGATTAGTCGTGTCCATGCGGCAGCCTCGCGCGGTCCGGGCCGACGTCCAAGTCCGGCCTGGCGAAATATTCTACAACCTCGCGCGCTTCGATGACCGCCACCCGGCAGGATCGAACCACCCTTACGACACTGTCACCGCCGTTAACCCGTCGGCCCACACGCGAGACGAAGCTGCCGCTTGTGAACAGGAGGATAAAATCAAGAGGGGGTGAGGGAAACAACGATAGCAGCACAGCCGCCAGGGCGGACGTGAGACCGCGTCACACTGCAAGTGCTAGGCCCTGTGGTCACCACATAGTTGAAGATGAATCGGCCGTGGCACAGCTTGAGGTGCTTGAGCAGGCTGTAGAGCTTGCCACAGTTGAGCGTGCACCAGGGGCAGTGGACGTCGTCACGCGCCTCCGTCTGCTGCCGCAGGTTGTTGTTGTACAAAAACTGCGACGGTCCAAGAGGGGTGTGGGGGAGGGGTCGGTTAGCAGAGGAAACGAAAGGAGAAGCATTGTGGTGACAAACATCGAGTTCCACCGAAATCGGGATCCTGAGCATCGTGTTGCCGGTATCGCAACATGGCGAGATGTTAACTACCTCGCCTGGTATACACATCGTGGGTTCCATCCCGACCCTGATGCCTGCTGTATATTTGGACTTTGCGTGTCTCTCTCCCCTTTGTTGCGTGGATTTTTCTCAGGGTCCTCCGGTTTTCCCCTCCACATTTAGAAACCCTGACGCCTATATTTTAGAAGTTTGCATGTACTCCCTGTGCTTGCGTGGATTTTTCTTTGGGTCCTCTGGTTTTTCCATCCATATTTAGAATCAATGTGCATTGTCAGAGAATTTGGCTGCTATAATTTTCCACGCGATGAGCCACTTCGTTGAGCTATAATTTGTGGCCAGGTCGCTTCTAAAAAAGAGCCTAATAGCTCAGTGGGCCTGACCTGGTAAAATAAAAATAGTAGAACAGGGAGCAGTTGGCACAGTGTTTCACGGACCCCCTGATCAACCCAGCGACCCAAGTTTTATTTCCAGTCACGGCTAACATCAGTGGCCAGTGAACTCAGGACCAGTCCCACAGAGTGGTACTTATTTTATATCACCTACGTTCCACTATAAAAGCAGCCTACATGTTCATCATCATCGTCATCCATGATCTATCCACTGCTTCATGAAGGCCTCCCCCAGACATTACGTTTTCTCAAAGGTCTTTTGAGGGAACACTCCATTTAGCTCCTACACAAAACTTGATTTCACCATTTCATCTCTGCGGCGGACACCCCGCTCTCGGGAAAGTTCACTCCTTTGGCTACTACTCTGTCATCATTCTCGCTCGCCAAACCGTCACGCTTTCCTTCGCCGTGCCTTTCCCAAGCCCCCTCCTCTCAACGGCCGACATTACGTTACAGACGTTCCCACGAAGCAATGCACGCAGCACTGCGATTTCATTGCCGGGGTATTCCAAAACAGGTCCTTTGAGCGTCACTCGAAACCCTGAGCGGGAAGGGAATGGCACATTGGCGGACACCAACAGCCCGTGGCACCGCTAACCGCATTAGCAGCCGACGACGGGTGAAGGACGGTGACGGAACGACGCCGCATTCAAAGGGGGTTGAGAGAGCGACCGAGCGGGGCGCACCTGGTAGTATATTCTGAGCTTCTTCTGAGGTTCCATTTGCCCCGGCTCCTTCTTCACCTGGACACTGGACGACAGCTGGTCCTTCACTCCTGCACAAAGAAGCCGACGATAGAAAGAAAAAATGATAATACGGAAGAGGCAGCTAGCCACGTGTTGGGGAAGGGATGCAGTTGGTGTGAGGCGAAGCAGGCCTGGGGGAGATGTTTGCGACCTCGGTTGGTATGGAGGTTGTGGGTTTGATCCCGATCGCCCGTATATTTGGAGTCTGCAAGGTCTCCTGATTGCGTAGACTTTTCTCCGGGTCATCTGGTTTCTCCCTCCGCATTTAGAATCAACGTGCGTTTAAGAGTATTTGGCTGCTATACATTTTCACATGATAAGCCACTTCGTTGAGCTATCATTATGTGGCCAGGTCGCTTCTGAAAAAGAGCTACAGAGCTCAAAGGGCCTTACCCGGCAAAATAAAAGTTTATAGTTTTTAGTATTAAGGAGCAGTATGTACCGCGAGCGCACAGAACAAAACCAGTCTCCTCTTCTGCAACCATAATCACCGTGTCGGTCCAGCCCAGCACCCCCCTCTTTAACAGCGCACACGCTCCCTTAGGCATTGTTACATTACTCCTGCCCGCTGCTCAGTGTGAGTACCTCACCACCTGCGCCTTCTCTGAAAAGGTTGAGAGGAAATAAGAGTTAATATCCTGGCCTCAAGCCCCTTGCCCATAACCTGACATACCTCCCCCCAGCTAATCGGTAACAATTGCACAATGGACATCATCTCCACCATGAAAGGGTCCACTTCCATCTCCTCCCACTTGTAAAAATAATTTCTGCCTTCAACATTAACCTCCATTCATACACTGATGATGCCCAATTGGACGCTGCAAACGACCATTTTTATCTCACGTCACAATCAGTTCTTCGCTGAATGAATATTCCTAAATTGTGTTTAGTTTCACATTGGTGGCAATATGAAAATCTATTTCAGAATACTTTCGCATTGCTGCCATTGTGTTTGGGAAACGACGTTGGTTAAAAAAATCCTCATCTAAAACGCGTTGAGAATGACGCTCATTTACGCAGGAAAGGGCCACCAAGTCTAAGGACTCTTTCTCAGGAGGGTCCTGCCAAGTGAATACACGCGGGGGATGATGACTGCCATGCACATTCCAACCAAGCAATTTACGGTGTCATTTTCAAATTGGCGAAAAATTTGGACCACGATGCCGGCACACGATGGGCCCACTTCGTGAATGACGTCACGGGGATCTTTCACCTTACCTCTCAAGCATCGCGAACGTACAAATGGATTTAAACATCCGACTCGGTGAACCGCTGGACGCCACACGTTTCAGTGACAAACAAAACGGGGTCAGGGTTCAGGTATCGGGGAGCACCGGGGAGCGCCAGGGAGCGTGAGGGAGCTTCAGGGAGGGCGCGGCAGTGCCGGGGGAACGGCGTCCGTCCCGCACCTGAGGTTCCGGTGGGGGCGGCCGGCTTCTGTGTGGCGGCGTTGCGGCCATCGGCGGACGCGGAGGGGTCGACGATGTTGCGCGGAGTGAGCGGCTTGGCGCTGGGAGTGAACGCCTTGTCCATGGCACCCCCGGTCCAGCGCAGCGTGAACTGCAGCGTGGGGCCCTGAGTGAACGTCTCGAGCGGTGGCAGCTTCTGCGGCGCGCACGGACCGGGTGGGGGGCCGCGCGAAGAGTTACCTTCCGAAGACGAGACCATTTTAAATGCACTCTGGAAAAGCGTAAATTATTTTGTAACCCTCGCGTTACAAACCACAGAGAAGGAAAAATGTCAAGGTGAGGTATTGATTCCTACTTACTTTCTCGAAGTTCAACAATCTCGTTACTTCTCATTTTCATACATACAGTGACAGAGAGAGGATTAATGTTTCCAATGTAAAACAAAAACGCACCAAGCCGTTCACCGTAAGTAACTCGCCAGCACGGTCATTAATTATCATGCATTCAGAGCCATTTAGCCCCTAGCAGCGCTGAGACCTCTCGGGTTACGGTGTCTCTTTAGCGGCGTTCACCAGTTTACCGCAAGGCTGTGCACAAGCAGTTATGTCTAGAGGGCTTTTGGTTCCTTCACTAAAAGCTGCCTGCATTCCGTTTTGTTTTACCGATCCTATAATCAGCGAACCAGTTGAGCTCTGCATGTGTTACAGTTGATTCAACGGTTCCTTATGAGAAGCAAAAGTGTACCATCTGCCTGGTGCTAAACAGAGGAAAGGAAAGTCGAGATGAAGCCTCTGACACTTCAGCTGGACAAAGAAAACGAGAGAGGAAAACACGCAGCCTCATTCCGATCTCGTCAGATACGCGATCGAAGAACTCCAATGTCCAACAGAGGCACTCACTGTCAAAAGCCCTGTTCGAAAGTGTGTGCACAGTTTTGACTCTTTCTCGCACGACGGCTTCTGGGTAGCCGGGTTTTGCGAGCGCCAGAACGTTCCACGCGGCAGTTCTGATCGCGGGACACAGATCCTTTTTTGTCATATTGCTCCCCTGCTTTGATTGTCGTTAGCCGGACACCGTCTTGTGGGTGCAGCTTCGGGCGCAAGCGTCGCGTGTGCATGATACGAGCGCCCTCCGCGGCGCCGTAACGGTCAGGGGCGGAAGTCCGCGTAGAAATTTCACTTGGCCATTTGCAGCTTGGGCCACAAAGACGCGGGTTCACGGCGCGTTGTGGGAAAAGTTCGATCACGACTCCCCGCTCTCCACCCTCGCTGCCAACCACCCCCTCTGCCAACCACCCCCCCACCCCCCTTCCGAAGAGTCAACGCCGAAATTTACCCCGTCTCCCCCACCGCATAGGTCCCAACCGTATACGCGTAAACACACGCGTAAACGCACACAGATAAGAACACGCGCGGCGGCGAAATGAAGCGAGCAAACGCGACGGGCGTGCGAGTGGCTACGGGGGGTGGGGAGACAACGTGACCCAGCGATCAGTGCAAGACGGGGCAGCCGTGGAAGTCCGGCACCAACGGTTGCCTTGTTGACAAGGCACCTTGCCCGCCTGGAGATCGTGGCGTGCGAAGGTCAAACGGTCCCATTCTCTAAACCACCAGCCGATCCCCAACCTTCTGCTCGTCGTGTTTCCCATCACCAGCCCGAGCTACTGTCCGCGTACCCCTTACCGTCATACAAGGTGATTAATTACATTCGTGAAATTACAATAGCATGCACAAGTAACCAACGCCCGCAACGTTTAGTTTGCGCTTCATAACGTAGTAACGATAACTAAATATGCGCAACGTACCAAAGCACCGCTTGAGTGAAACCCCCCCCCCCCACGTGACCGGAATCGCCGTGTGCCCACTGACGCTACGTGAATCACGACGGAGAGATGCCTTGCGCACCACCCCCCCTCCCCCCCCCCCCCGAGGCATGCTCCGCGTGCCCTGAAAATGCCCCCCCCCCGGGGTACGCACACCACGGATTGGGAACTGGCACCCTCACGCCACCCAGCGACGGCGATCGCCACCGGGCCCACGGTTCGTCGGCGTAAAAGCTTTGTGGCCGCACGCCATCCTCGCTCTGCTACAAAAACGCGACTTTTACGGAACAAGTGGGGGGAAATCTTGTTGACGTATCGAACATTTCCCGCCCGCAATTCGAAGTTCAAAAGGTGTTCAAAGTCGTGGTTAATATTAGTAATAGGAGCGCGAAGGGTTTGTTGTGCAACGCCTAATTGCTATGATTGCGTGCAATCACCGTGATGAAAAGTGAACCGAACACCTCGGTGGGCCCGCAGTGAGTCGGCTTACAGAGGCGAGACACGAGAAGCGCGCGTCGTGACGGCAAGGCCCGGCCACAGCTCCGATCGCAGCGTCGTGAGACGCAGCGTCCTTGACAGCGACCGCCACAGTTTCCCGCAAGTGCCGACGAAGCAAACAAAAAACGGGTTTCACAATTCGCGTGAGGATGGAAACGAAATATGGCGGTGGGGGCGGGGGAGGGCCAAGCATTGGCTGGGACTGAACTTTACTTGAGCCATCGGACACCGCAGGATGGTGCCGATAAAATGTGTCAGACCTAATAAAGCGGGGGCCGGGTAGTAGGTGACCGACACTGTATCCGCCATGGCCCCACCTTGCCCTCCAGGAAGGTCTCCCACGTCGCCCTCTTTTTGCTGATGTGGCAGTCCTCCAGCTCCTGCATGGCCACCTCGTACTCGCCGTCCAGCAGCTGGCACCGTCTGCTCGCGGGCGCACACACACACGTAACGCCGGTCAGTCCACGCACAAAGACAAAGATGCCCCGCATAGCCTGTAACAGACTGTTGGGGCAAGTGCTGTTAGCGAGCACCTACGAAGGAGGTATGGCACACGAGCGAGGGGGTGGGGTGCCCAACGCCAAGCCTGGGTGCCTTTGTCTCACTAGTGGCGATGTTTACACACCGCACGAGGTACTCATTTGAGGCAGAGTCGATCTAGGAGAGGCCCACGACCCGTTCAGATATTCGTCACTGGTGTTGGCTGTGAGCGGGAATCAAACTCGGGTCGGCAGGTTTGTAGTGCAGCATGTTAACTGCTACACTACACTACTGCTCCCCACACACACGTGCAAACACACTCGTCACTCACAAGCATGGTACATATGTTTGTATGTTGAACTTTTGTCACACCGTACATAGCCAATCGTGCCAATTGGAGGTACGGTGATTATAACACTATTCACTTATTTTCTTACCAGGTAATGCCCACTGAGCTATAGAGCTATTTTTCAGAAGCGACCTGGCCACAAATGATAGCTCAACGAAGTGGCTTATCACGTGGAAATTTACAGCAGCCAAATACTCTATAGACGCACGTTGTTTATAAATGTGGAAGGAAAACCCGGAGAGAACCCGGAGAAAAATGAACGCGACCAAATATAGAGCAGACGTCAGGGTCGGGATCGAACCCACGACCTCCTGTATACCAGGCAAAGTGGTTAACATTTCGCCAACATTCACCCCCACTGTGAACATGCGGAATTTCCACTGATGGTTAAAAGGCCGGCTCCTCTGAGGTCAGACACGTGCGACTTTGAAGGGAAGTAATTATGCATCCTTTCCGACGTGCTTTCCAGTTACAACATGCACTCATTGTCCGACATTTCGTTCCACGTGCTTGCAACGAAATGTCAAGGCATCAAGCCGGACAACAATGAATTTCAACCCAAAAACACATCGCAGAGCTGCACGGCAGAACCGTGAAACATTGTATTGATTCTGTTTCGCCCACGGGCTCAGGGCCACCCCATTGATTCTGTTTCGCCCACGGGCTCAGGGCCACCCCATTGGAAACGAGCACCGCTCCGTGCACGTTTAAACACTTCCTGTTAACTCTCCCCCAAGCCTCATGCAAGTTTAAAGGCTCTTCTCCAGGAAGGCAGCATCCCCACACCGAGTATAGCCGCGCGTGCACGAGAACGCAGGAACAGGAACAAAAACCTACCCACGCATGAGAGAAGCACGCTTGGAAATGTCCACGGGCAGTCCTCGGCATACAAACCAAATTCGCTCCTGAGACCCGTTTGTAAGTCGTAACACAACGCACTGGATTTAAATCCCCATACGGTCAGTGTCGTGAAATGTCTGACGGTTCAACAAAAAGGGAAGCATTGATAAACTTGTTACTTCTCGCGGAGGATCGCTCCTCCGAACAAAATAATTCGGCGGTTCAGTTTTCAATTGCGAATTTGCTTGGAAGCTGGTTCATAAGTCGGGCATTCGTAAGTTGGGCACTACCTGTATATATGTTCCAGGAACCTACTCGCTGTACTGTGATCTACTATGCAGCCTAGTCTTGCGACGAAAAATGAACACACAATTGAAATGTCTACACCCGCGGCAAGTCTCATTGCTAAACGTGGCCAACATTTCGTTTTTGGAGCGGTGACGTGGCCCAGCGTGCGCCGCTGGTTGCCGACATTCGCGGGTAACCTGGCGGCCGCCCTGGTTATTATTGCGGCTGAATTAACCACGCAAACACACGCCATCTGCTTCACGGAGGACGTTAAAATATCCCGTTGACGTCATTCGAAACGAATAGATCTTTTGTGCCGGGCGTCATGGTCCAAGATCGTCCACAAATTACTCAATTGGCATTAAGACATAGCAACATTGTTCTCTGCTGCCAGACTACGTCCATGTGTGAAACACAGCGCCGCCTTCCTTCACAAGAGCCCGGCGCCATGAGAAAGGCGCGAGCAGGCGCCAATTTGTACGCAACTATTCTCATCCTTTCGTCGCTACACAAGTGTTGTGGCGCGTTGTCCGAGGACAGTGACCTGTTTTTATCGAACACCGTGAGCTCCGAGGTGTACACCTTCTCCGTGTCCTCCCGGTGGCACGAGCTGCGCCTCCGCTTGCTGGGAATGTCGTCCGTGACGTCTGGGGTAGTGGGTGGTGGGGGGGACGCGGCAACGGGGGGATGTTAGTTTCCTGCGCGTAAGTTCCCGGGCGGGGGGGGTGTCGTGACACACCATTCCTGCAAGCGGTGAGCGAGCGGACTCACGGGAAGCTGAGCAGTGGGTGCAGCACATGGCCACCCACACAGCCAAGCGGTCACACTGCGATGGTGCGACGCACCACGCGGCCCATCACATGGTAAACCTAGTGTATGGCGAGATCCGTTATTCACATACAGTCACACTTGGACACTGCCACGCCGACCGAAGTGTTACGTGAATACACCCGCTCGCATTGGGACCGTGGAATATGGGTGCGATCCATGATATGAAACGCGTGCAGCCAGGCCTTGCATGGTGCTACGCCGAGCACAGCAGTGGACAGTGCAGCAGAGTCCATCATTGTACATCGGTACTATGGATGGATTGTTGCATCACATATTCTTGAGAGGCGGCGGGGGCGAGGAAAGGCTGTCATCCAGCAGTGGATGGATCACGGCTGATGATGATCGATGCTCCCACATCTCTGATCAATGCTTGCACCAGCCCACACCGACAAGCGTGGTGAAATATGGTCAAAGACTAAGAGCTCCCGTATAGCCTTGAACAGACTGTTGGGGAAAGTGCTGTTAGCGAGCACAGATGGAGTCCGGTACGGCACACGAGGTGGTGGCTGGTCAGCACCACACCCAGCCACCTTTATCTTCCCAGTGCTGATGTCTGCCACCTAGGGGAGGCCCAGGACCAGTTCAGATATTCATCACTGATTACAGCCACGAGCTAACATCAGTCACCTCAGTGCGATAACCACTACATTACCGCTGCCCACGAAATCCACATGACACCCAGACGAACGATTGCACCGCTCTGCAAGAGTTGGGAATGGATTCTTGGTCTCATGACGTGACGCGGATAGCACAATGGGGATACAACTGGGGGGGGGTGGGGAGGGGGGAAAAGAGTTAAACATTTTAATTAAAATAAATAGCCTCGGACGCACCCAGATTCTCGTCGGCATCGCGGGCCAAGCCGGCAGCCCCCTGACCCTCGCGCCCGAGCGGCCGGTAGATGCGGAACAGCAGCGAGTAGGACTTGACGAGATGCGGATTCCCTGGCTGGAACTCCCCATGGGGGATGGAGAGGGAGGGGCAGCCCGCCCCCGCCCCTGCCTTGCTGGCTCCGCCCACCACCGGTGGGTTCAAAGGCACCTGCTTTTTACCCAGAGGCACTTGCTTGATAGGGCAGCTCACATCCTGCGCCAAGAAGAGCACAGAAACGCACGCACGCGGGCGCACAAGCATGTTGCGATTATTGATTTCACCAGGCGCTTAGTTGCGCCACAAATCGCCGGCCTTTGCAATTTGTTCGTCACGATTCATGGTCGTGATGTGATTAAATAAATAATTTTGTGCTTTTTACACTGTGGTGAATGTAATGCCTCTGGTGGCGGAGAGGGGACACGTGGCAATCGAACACAAAACGTACAAATCTCAATTGCTTCTCACGCAATACGAATGCAATAGGAATCCACGGATCGCCCAAGAACCTCCGTTATTCGGCAAATTAATGCATCGTTTCATATTTCCCAGCAACCAAGGTCTCTGTTCGACACCTCCAAATCAACCTTGCCTCAAAGAGAGGTCACGCTCCTCCTCTCCTGCCCCCATCAGCGGGAACTCCTCCCCTACTCATACCTGTCAATCCCTTATCAGTGCCTTACCTTATTACAGACCAATTCAGACCGTATTGGTCACGCCGTGCCCTTATAAATCTCAACGTTTATCCTACAAAGTCCCATCACAAGGGGGAAACAAAGACAATTTATTTTGCCCGTATTGAAATGGCTGTACGTACGCTGTATGGACCTGTAAAGACAATTTCCCTGTACAAGAATACGGGTGAAACGTAGGGGGGTTGACAGGTATGCCTACTCATTGGTACCGCCCACTCCTTCCCAATGTTCCTTTTCTTTTCCCCGTATGATACATTTTTCTCCCTACCCTGAACCTAACCCATATTATATTCTAATTGCACCTGTTCCATTGTATTCATGTATGATGTACAACTTCTTTCGCACTGGACGTAGCCAACCGTGATCATCGGAGGTGCGGGGAATAGCTCCTATAGTCACTCACCCATGTACAATACTCTGTCTCCTGTCCCTTATCTCATGTACCCGCCCTATTTTTCACAGCGTCTTGAGTTACAATGACAATTAAAAGATTCACAAAGTTTTGCATTCCAAATAAACGAGCACAGCAGACCCGTAAGCAATTACGACGAGGCTCACCGATTTGCATGCATTAAAAAAAATGATCTTACAGGATGTAAAAGAGTCGTTTTATTATCTCATTTAGCGGCGACCCAGCGGCGATGAAATGGGTGAGCAAGTAAAACTTTACCGCCAAATTTCAGCCCGCGGTGAAAAATAAACACAGTGGTCGCCCCCCCCCCCCCCCCCCCCCGCAGGTCAAATCCCCGTCCGGGAAATCGTCTCAACTCGCTGTGCTACACGCTGCCACCGCACAGTCGTAAAAGGGGCAGGGTTTCCATTTCAGCCTGGCCTGTCCACATCGAGTATTTTATCTCTCGTTTCGGGCTGTTGCTATTACAGAATCACGTGCCACCCACTCCGGTCAACCAGTGACCCAGAAAAATATTCGGCGAGAAATTGAACCCCACCAAAAAGGCAAACACAAGACGGATAAAGTAACGGCCATGTGCGCACCTGCGCCGTCAGGAAATTGTAAACACATGTTTAACCACAACGCTGCTTTGTGCTAGGCTCTTGGGCTTGTCCCTTGCTTGTGTAATACACTCACTCTCTGAACACACACTTGCAAAAATATATACTTTTAAATCCCCGTTACATTCCAAGCAGCGATCACAGCCAGAAATAAAACTTAGTGGCAGCGGTGTAGGACCAAAAACACAACGGTTGATAGCATCTTGCCAGAGAGAAACGGCAAACATCTTGTAACTCCCCCTCTCTGAAGAAGCGCTCTTAACTGAAAACGTGAGCTTTCTCGGCGTTTCGCGCAAACATGCGGTACAATCACAGCTGCCGTTGTAACTTTCTGACTCGCCCCTAACTGGACATCTGTGAAAGAAGAGCTTCACAGCTCATCGAATTTCTCCAGGATAAATAAACATTCTGACTCCGATTCCGAGATGGGAAAGCTGCTGCTTAACGATCGCTACAACAGGCGTGGCTTGTGGCAGTGCCTCGCTCCGTCGGCCCGAGCACCAGCGTCAATGCGAGCGCTCCGCTGGTGCCTCCGCCTCGCGGCTCAGCGTGGGGCACAGGCTGCTTCTGTCGCCCCGCTAACGTCTAAGACGCGCCGAGAAAACGCTACCAGAAACACACGGAGAATCGAAACGTCAGCGCCGCAATGACGTACCGCCGATGTAAACGCCTGCCAAACGGGCGTTTTACGCGCAAGGCTAAAATGTAAAATCAGAAGAAGACCCGACGCCACGAGCTAAAAAGCTCGTGCGCTCGCCACAACGAGCGAGCCCGTTGAGAAGGCCGCACGGCGTCACGCGTGGGTGGCAGCTTTCGTGTGACATCATGGTTCACGGGTAGCTGCGAAACAAGCGGTGGGACGGCTCCGCAAACGCGGTCCCCATGCCAGGCGGCGATTCCAGCAACAGCAACGCCTCCACTGCTCAGAAACCCCCCTCCCCACACGGCCTCCTCCTCTAGTTCTGTACACGACTTCTTCGGCCGGGCACATATCTCATCTCGCAGCTGGCAAGCGACCTAAAACCGTCAACACTGCATTACCCTCTAGCGTCCCCCACCCGCGCTGGGTGTGGAGCGGTGTTCCTCGCATACGAGCTCACGTGCACAGGTTGGGAGGGTTCATTTTGAAAAGTAATGGGTGCCCGATTACAGGTTATTCAAAGTGTATTGGAGGCAGCGCAACATAATCACGTGTTTGGCATTTCTTTTCAAGTAATTCAACCTGATTATCTTCAAGATTACACGCTTCACTTGAGACACACGTGAGGTTAATTTAACCCCTCAAGTAACAGTTAAATGAGGATTTGTAGGCTTTGTGTGAGTGACTGTGTAGTAATCAGCTATTGCTCACCTTGAATTAAATAACACCAATGAGCAGTGACCGGCATCGTGAAGTACGGTCAAACTACCCCACGCGAAGAGAGGATGTCGCGCCCCAACACTCCCCAACCCCCTATTCAGCAGTGAACTGACAAAAGGGCTGTAGGTGGACGGGGCCTTGGCCAGGTTTGGGCCCTGGGAGGTATTGGCGTTGTACGTGGCAGCAAATTCAATGAGAGCTGGGATCACCGCAGACATCCGAAGCCACGGAACCACGACTCCCGACGTCTCACACACACGCGCAACCCAACTGCCGTCTGCATCGTTACAAAATTAATTGGTTCAGACAAAAAAAGCACTCGCGTCAAGTTAGATAGTGACAGCTTTAACATTTAGTACTGAGGTTTTACTCATTCTGTTACCTGTAAATCAATGCAATGTAAATAAATGTGAAAAGCACTGAACACGATCAAATGGCAGATAAGCTCATATGTTGCTCCGAGACAAACACAGCCAATCATCCTCACGAGTTGCTAAAACAAGCGCCACTTTGAGGGATATTAACTGTGGGTTTCCCATGGCAAGACTCATCTTCGCCATAGAAATATTAGAATTTTCACTTCTGACTCACAGCCACCAGTGACGAACACCGCAATCGCTAGAGCGGTGAGACAACTGACAAATTCTTTATGCTGCGTCTGCCACATACCGTGGGACAATGGCGCTTTTCACGAGGCTTGGAAACATAAATCCCTCCCGATTGTATATATAAAAAAAACACTGGCACAATCGGTGTACACACGGGGCTGTCCGATCCACGCGTCTCTCGTTGTCCGACACTGCATGTGCCCGGGGTCAGGCAATTCGCTAACACCCAGCAGCATCACCTTCTGGGGAGCACGAAAAAGCCACGTTCACCAAATCTCAATTGGGTAACGCAGAACCTGCAAGGTGCCGATATTTTTTAAACCTTACTTTGCACTAAGAGCAAAGCAAAAGACACTGCAGGTGCTCTCTTCAAAGTGAGCCTAACCAGGGGAAAACATGAATATTTAGCAGCATTATAGTGAGTAAAAGCTCGCTCACGGCACAAACAACACCAGCATTCGACACTGTTCACATTAAAAAGTGCTGCTCGCCTGCCTTAACCCTTACACACTTGTCGCCACGCTGGGATTCGCATGCACGCACACACACCACACACGTGTTCACTGCTGTCGCCCACGCAGCACACCTGGGGCCTCGTTCTGAACGCCCCGGGGCCTCACCTCGCAGCGCTGCGCCTGCATCCAAAACCGTGCGACTTGGCACGCCAAACGTGTTGACAACTGCACTGCTGAGCGAGAGATGCTACCGTCCCCGGCGGCGGTGCCGCCAACGTTTGAAAATTATCACAATTCAGACTTTAAACTTTTGTGACTGCAGGAATTCATATTCTTGGTTCTTTCGATAAAGTCACGTAAATAGAAAACGTGACTTTACCGAAAGGACCAAGAATATTATCACAATTCACCGGGAGTTTTTTTTTTATCTTGTACCCCCAAGTCCGAGCAGATCATCCGGAATAAATATCGAACAAATGACCGTTTAGGTCAACGCGCAATTAACAAGTAAAATGCAGAGCGGAGGGAAAATGTGCAGATTGCCACGCTGGTTTCGGCAAACTAAGTCGGGCCTATAATATACAGCGCGGTGGACGAATCCGCACTCGCTGGAGCGTGGCCAGCTTGCTGCCAACACTCACGAGCCGGGGCGGCTCACACGCCGACGTAGCAGTCACATTTGCTTTAAACGGTTTAAAAAATAAGAAAACGCGACTAACAGTGACGGTTTAAATATCACATGTTAAGCTGCTTCCGAGACAAAGTGATGGCGAGGTGGCAGCCGGTTCGGAGCAGGCTGGTCTGCTGCGTGAACGACGGCGGTGAGCTTGCGAAGCCCAGCATGGCACCGCTGTCGGGGCTTAGGCTAGGGTGAGCAGCTCGTCCAAACGTGAATAGTGACGGAAACTCCACCTGAATATGGCTGCTTATTCAACATGCACACAAAACTTGGTGAAAAAAGAACAGGGACATGCGTGCAATCGATTTATGAAGCTCCTCATGCCCGTGATTTCCGTACGAATTTCCTTACTTTCGGCCCAAGGCTCGGGCTTACCGCCTGTAGTCGCGTCATGGTTAGCAGAAACGATGTTAGATTTATAAAGCGTATGAACGCGACAACATCTCAAGGTGCCGTACCAAAAACGGTGGATATATTACAGTTCATTTCGTTAAAGTTTAGTTTGGAGGTAGGGACAGTGACTTGCACTGGCTGAGGGTTTTAAGCCATGGGTAGCGAGGTGGCGGGGATGTGAGAGGGCGACCCGAGTTCGGTACGCGATATCTCAGTTTTTCCGCTCTGCGAACGTGCGCACGCACGCAGCGGAGGAGTGCACGGCCGCGGCGAGCCGACGGCCACGAGAGATTCACGAGCGGTGACTCGTGGTGACGTGCAACGATGGGGGGGGCCACACCTTGCGTTTCTTGTGGCACACTTTGACGAGGAGCACCTCCAGTATTGCCGAGTTCTGTTCGTTCTCAGAGTTTTGCGTTGCCTTTTCTGTGCCTGCAAACAGCAGGCAAGGCCCTCATCACTCAAACACTCAACAACACGGCCACACGAGAGCCCTCGCCTCCTCAACAAGGCGCATGCTCAGCGCCCCAAGTCTACTCTTACAGAAAGCCTCCTTCCCTCGACGCTCGACTGCACGGACAGAGTCGAGGGGGCTGCGACCATTCGATTTCAGTTTGTACGTGTGTATGTTGTACGTATGTTTGTCTATGTATGTTGAACTTCTTTCCCACCATATGTAGCCAACCGTGCTAATCGGATGTGCGGGATGCACGTGCAGCTCCTACTATCTCCGTTTGCCCTCGCCGCTACGACAACTAGTGGACTTAATGACACGAAACACCTCCATTTTATTTCACGTGGTACACAGCACACACTGCACATGCCAAGACAGGCTTATAAACCAGCCCCCCACTGAGTGTTTGATAAAATTAAGGCCTTCGGCGGATGGGCCATGTGGACAGGCATTTGTCTGTGTAGTGTGTGACAGTGGAAAAATTCATAGCAAATCAATTGTGATGGAAGAAATTCCATATAATTTTCCAGTTATTAAAAAAAAACTCCAACTTACCACTCGTGTGGAAAAATCCAGTGAAGTTTAGCTGCAAATGTCCCGATTGTGTGCTACAAAAACAAACACAGGTAACAAACCTCAGTTTAATAGGTGTCATAATAACGATAATTAAAATAAATGGACAAAACAACTGCTTTCCTATTCTATAGAAAATCCAATATCTTCAGAACACCGTAAATGTATCTATTACAAAATATCCACTTACACCCACCACAACCTCACAAGCAGAGCCCCACCCCCCCCCCCCCCCCCCAGTGCACCGTAGCCAATGGAGAGTGAGCTGCGCTCGACAACAGCACAGTCGTCACAAAGGCAGCTCACGTGCAATTGGCCGCTCTGCGGCGACGGTAGGTGGATCTCAAAAACAAGGTTAACGTGGCCCCCAACGCTCACGATAACAAACCCTGGGTCACGTGTAAAAGCGTGATCGGCGCGATATTAAATTATGCTGCTTCGCTTCAGACAATGGGCACCAGGCGTGTGTGCCAGAGTAGGAGCCTCCCTCCCACCCACCCAGTGCCCTTGAGGAAACCGATACGGTTGCTATAACACGTAGGCTTTCGCGACCAATATTATTCATAATATAGGTTTTTTTGGGTCAGATCGCGTTATTTATAAATGTGTCGTAACCCTCCACCACCCGACACGGCCAAACAGTAAAAAATGTGTCACTTTACAAAGGACAAATTAATTGACTTCTTTAGCCCACCGGTGTGCTGAAGAGAGAATCAACGGCATTTTAAAATTTGAGTACGACGTTTCGCTGATAATTACAATCAGCTTCATCGGGCAAGAATGGTGAAGCTCTCCTGTTGCTTCCGGGCTTAAATAGAGCAGCATCCGGGTGACGTCATCATTTAATTCAACTCAATCTGGTGCAGTGATTCGAGGCAAGGAGGGGGAGGGTATTGTAATTATATAGATTGGTAATCATTCAATTGTTATTCATTGGTATTTGTTTCCCTTATAAGGAATTGTAATTGTATTTATTTGATAATACGCTTCCAGGCCGCACTAAGCCTGTAGCTGTCAGAGCGATGGAAATTATTTCTGTTTCTCTCAATTTCAATGGATTCTTGGCGAGTAATAATTAGTTTTACACAACACTTCAACGTTATGAAAATTAAGAGAAACAGAAATAATTTCAATCGCTCTGACAGCTACAGGCTTAGTGCGGCCTGGAAGCGTATTATCAAATAAATATAATTACAATTCCTTATAAGGGAAACAAATACCAATGAATAACAATTGAATGATTACCAATCTATATAATTACAATACCCTCCCCCTCCTTGCCTCGAATCACTGCACCAGATTGGATTGAAATTAATTAAATGATGACGTCACCCTGATGCTGCTCTATTTAAGACCGGAAGCAACAGGAGAGCTTCACCATTCTTGCCCGATGAAGCTGATTGTAATCATCAGCGAAACGTCGTACTCAAATTTTAAAATGCTGTTGATTCTCTCTTCAGCACACCGGTGAGCTAAAGAAGTCAATTAATTTGTCCTTTGAAAACTTGACACATTTTTTACTGTTTGGCCGTGTCGGGTGGTGGAGGGTTACGACACATTTATAAATAACGCGATCTGACCCAAAAACCTTGATTATGGATACGGTTGCTGCCCTGCCGTTTACCAGGGCCGCGAGGCGCCCCGTGGCAGCTCGCTCCACACACCTACATGCCACGGGGACACTCGGCGCAGCCATACACCCACCTTGGAGCGCTGGGGTCCCCCTTCATTTGATCTTCGACCCGAGACAGCATTTCATCCAACTTGAAAACTTTCCTGCACAGCGACAGAGGGGCACGCGGGGCGGAGAGGGGTCAGGGTGAGCAGCAGAAAACCAGCAGCGACATCTGTCGGCAGAGAACGACCGATCATCGCTAAATTCGTCACGAAGGTCCAGCATTGAACGTGCATTTCGCGCTGCCACCCTCATGTGGAAAAGGTGAAGCTAGCAAGCAGAGACAGAAAAACACAAAAGGCATTTCGTCACGTGAACGTAAACCGTGTTTAACTTGGCTCACAAGCAGACCTCGCTTAGTACTCAAGATGCGTTCCTGGAGACGTGAACATTCATCGAATCAGTGCTAAAAGGGTTCATTATACCATTGTATATATGGGGATGCATTCCCGACAGCATTACAGTTGATCATCGGTCCCGGGCCGATCCGGTGAAACCGTTAAAGCTGCTCCAAAGGCTGTAACCAGTCAGGTGATCGGCACCGTTTGCGTGACAAAAAAAGTAGCTATGCTTGATTTCAATGTCAAATATTATATACAGTACATTATATCATTTTTCAATTTAACACGTATATACATTTTCATGAGTAATAACGACAGTAATAAAAACAGAAACTATTCGGGGCCATCCAGCCTGAAGTGCGTGTAATTCGGCGTTCGCATCAGTCTGGCGATCGTAAAACACAAGTTGTTGAAACAAGAGTGTTGTTGTAGTCCTACGTATATCAGCCCATAATATCGAGTCTTCGAGATTAGAGTGGTAAGTACGGTATACAGTAAATTCGGTAACTTTTTACATTGGGATATTTATTTTTGTGTATTCGTAAGTTTATTTATGCCAATTTCATATAGTAAACAAATTTTAAATACTAAAAACATACAAAACACCGAAAAATATGTTATGCAAAAATAAGCTACTTTAAACGTGATTATTCGTTGATTTTTTTTTTATCCGGCGCCCCCTTCTCCCCGAAGTCGCCGGATAACCGATGATCTACTGTATTTCTTTTGCATAAGCAATGAGGACTTCATTGGGGTATTTACTACTATATTTACCCAAGAATGTCAGTGTGTAACGCGTGTGACGTCACTCCACGTCGACCAGCCCCCCCCCGCCCATCATTAAACAAGTCGGCTTTCTGAGGGTCACGCGCTAAGCGAGGTCTGCCTGCATTTTCCAGTTTTCCACTTAGTCTAACCCAATGAATATAGGTTACATAAGAACATAGCTTGAGATGTAACAAGTAGATTCCACGGTTAAATAAAATAAATACCAGGTGACTGAAAGTCAACACTGGCTGTTGTATGGCTGGACTGAACCCTGCCATGGGAATGTGCAATTTCCACTTCCAGCTCAGAGAAACCAATGGAGAACTTCCCATTTTATCGTGTGTGTAGACGCGCCGACTTTTTAAACATCCTAAGAGTCGTGAGCACAGCCTTGCTTATCAATGCTGCTTACACTGCCTCCTGCTGCTATGCTTTTAAACTTCCATCGCGTACACGTCGCCAAAACACTGAGCGACTATCCACCTCCATCTGTTTCCAGATTCCAAAGAATACAAAACACAGAATCACATCCATGCCTTTTACATTATTAATCTCTCAAGAGCGTTTAATCGATGAGCAAAATGCACCCTTCTCCACGCCTCCCGTCTCGATATAAATACAGCTCCTTCAAGAGCCGGGTTCGTCCACTCCCAAGGATTCATTATCGTTCCAGAGGCAATGCAAACAGCCTGAGACACAGGCTCAACCCGCAAACAAAAAACGCTTGCTCCACTTCTCGCTGTGAGTGTGCGCCAGAAAAAACAGGGTCGTCATGGTCTGCAAGCCACATTTACACACACAGACACGCAGAAGCACACACATGCAGACACGTGCACACACGTATGAATACGTATGCAGACACGGAGACGTACACACACGCAGACACAAAGAAAAGAAACAAAGATTCCCTGTATAGCCTTAACAGACGATTTGGGCAAGGGCTGTTAGCGAGCATCTATGAAGGCCGGCACAGCACACGAGGGGGTGGGTGGCCAGCACCACGTTCGACCACCTTTGTCTCTCTGGTGGCAATGTTTACACATCGCATCAGGCACTCATTGGAGGCCGAGTCGACCTAGGGGAGGCCCAGGACCGGTTCATCGTCACCGCCACTGGCCGTGAGCAGGAATTAAACTCGGGTCACCAGGTTCATAGTGCAGAGTGCTAACCACTGTGTTACCGCTCCCCACACACGCAAACACCTACACGTGCACGTAGACACATACACACAACACACAAGCAGATATACACACACACACATGCAGAGGCGTACACACACACACGTACACATACACGCAGACATACACACAGATGCTAGGGACGATCAGGTTTGAGAAGGGGATATTAAAATATGCACATTCACACTTTTTCATGAATTTTTTATAACAGTGACCCCAGACACCAAAATGTATTACCTATTAAATTACCACTGCTACATTTCATTGAATTTTGGTTCCCATATAAAATGCTTCGTGTGCCAGTAGTTAATTCCAGGTCTCCTTTAAAAGGGACTCGTGATAACATAGGTTATAAGAGTTGCACGTTTATAAACAAACTCGCTTACTGAATTGGTGCTCTCATGATTACAAATTAAATCTGTCCATCTCTCTACCTATCTATTCACATGTAGACAAATAGCTTCACAATCTCCCTCATACAAAGACCCCCGTATAGCCTGAACTAACTGTTGGGTCAAGTGCTGTTAGCGAGCACCTACGAAAGCTGGCAGGGCACACGAGGGTGTGGGTGGCCAGCACCAAGCCCGGCCACCTTTGTCTCCCTTGTGGCGATGTGTACACACCGCACCAGGTACTTATTGGAGGCAGAGTCGACCTAGGGGAGGCCCAGAACGGGTTCAGATAATCGTCACTGGTGTTGGTTGTGAGCGGGAATTGAACTCGGGTCGCCAGGTTCATTGCCCAGTGCGCAAACCGCTGCCCTTCCACTCCCCACATAAACACGTGCACACACACACACTCTGGACGTACTGTATGCATGTAAACACGTTGAGCATCTCTACTACGACTACTGCTGCTGCACACCGGGTCTCAAGAGAGGTACCCCCTTCGTCACTTCACCGATGAGAAGGGGCTGTGTTTGCGTGATGGCGCCTTGCGTCTGCAGGGGCCGAGTGGCGCCCCGTCCCTGCAGGCTCGCAGCCTCGCACGCGCATTTTTGTGGCGTCGGCCATTACCGGCTTCCCAGCGGAAACTCGGCGGCTTTGGGGAGAAGGGAATTCCACCGCGAGTCAGTTTTTTTGCACTCCAAGCACGGTGGATGCAAGCATGAGCACGGCTCCGAGGGCCGTGGCCGGCACGTGCGCGCGGGGTCGATCCTCGAACGGCGGTTATGAAGCGCCAGGCGTCGTTAGCCGCACCGTAGCATTAGCAAGAGCACGCTAAAAGGCGAGGCTTTGATGTGCAAACAAGCGCAAACCCGAGTGCCGGGCAACCGCGACGCATATTCATTACAGTCAAAACAAATGGTGCTCAAAACGGCGTGTTTGTAGATTACACACACATACACTAATATCTCCCGTGCAGCCACACTGACCGCTGGAGCAAAGTGTTGTGAGCGAGCGTCTATTAGGGCCACCGCAGCACTACAGCAGCACGGGACAGGGTAACGGTGGGGACAAAACAGCACGTGGCTGGCCACCTTCCATTTGCCCAGTAGTGCTGCTGACAAAAGTGTTTATCGGAAACTCATCTCAGGCCGAGTCACCGCGGAGGAATACCCAGGCGAGGTTCGGATACCAAACGCTGCGAATGTTACGTTGTCAGAAATTCAATGCAGGTCTTTGGGAATGGCCGTGTGCAGGCGACTGCACCGTGTCCTACGTCCACTGCAGCCGCCACCACTTACGACACAACATTCGGATTGATAAAATTATCAGTAGAATAGCGCATGTCATTTTAGTGCTGATCCAATAGAAATGCACATTATTATGATCACATTAGTATGTGTAATGTACAGAATAGTTTCACACGCCTCTTTAAGATAGTCTTGCAAAGAATAAAAATCCCACTTCATCCCAGCTTCAAGGGCCAACTACACCCGACACCCTGGCGGCACTCTGCACGCAAGCGGCCTTTACCTAAGAACGCTAATTAGTAACGAAAGATCGACTTTATTCCACGGCCACTGATTAAGCAGCACGTATCAGGCACGCGCGTCTGCGGTGGCAGGGGCGCACGCGCCAGCCCCTCGTCTCCCAACATCACCCTCCCGCTGCCGCTGGAGAAGGAATTAAGCAGCAGTTGCTATCGGGCCAGCGCGGAGTAACCCAGCACTCAGGTGGGTACGCCGCCTCCGCTGCCTCCACCGTAAGCCGCGTTCAAGCCGCCTCCCATTACTTGTGAATGTCAAAGCCTGGAATCGTGCCGGACAGGCAATGGGGGGGGGGGCCCTGCCACACAAAACAGGGGCCTCCATCCGTCACCAAACAAGAGCCCCACGCCGTACACAACTAAACGAGACAAAAGAAAACTATTATTCCAGGTAAGGCCCACTGAGCTATGTAGCTCTTTTTCAGAAAGGACCTGGCCACAAAACGAGAGCTCAACGAAGTGGCTTATCGTGTGGAAATTTATAGCAGCCAAATACCATAACTGCATGATTCTAAATGTGGAGTTAAAAACCAGAGAACGGAGAAAAATCCACGCGCCCGGAGGGAAAAACGCAAAATCCAAATATACAGCAGACATCGGGGGTTGGGATCGAACCCATGCGCTCCTGCATACCAGGTGAGGTAGTTAACATCTCTCCACCTCCGTACTTTCTCGAACGGAGAAAAAGGCAAATGAAGCAATGCAGCCTGACATTGTCTGGTGCGTTGGGTCAATATCAGAAGATTTGGGCCAGAAGGGACCGGTTTACTGCGAAGAATAAAAGTTGTTATCCAGCCAGCCGATGTCATGTTTGATGTGCACGCCTTGCAATTGTTGAGAGCACTTTATGATGTTTGTTAAATGCTCTTTGGGGATAAAAAC